TAACCTGGCAGGGCATCCAGCAACCATAGTATTGCCAGGCTTCAGCTAGCCCCCTTCCTTTACCTCAGCACCTCCTACCTCCCAGCAAAACTTGCCAGGGCTGAGCCAAGCCCAGAAGTCTGCTCTGAAGGCCACTAAGCTCACTCCCTCCTTGGCCAGCAGGCACTGTCAGACCTGCCCATAGGAGACCTCCGCAGGGCTTTCTTGGAGTGAAACAGAGACAACTATGCCAAGCGAAGGCAGGGAAACCCAGCTGCCAAGTGCTTGAGGAAAGCCTGGCTGTTTTCTGTGGCAGCCGATGCCAGGAGCACCAGAGAGATCGGAGACCCCCCGCTGGAATGCCAAGGGTCTCAGGAGATTTGTCATGTTAGGTGGCTGACACTCAGGTATTTCCCCTGCACCAAACAGAGTCTGATGGCTCAAAGATGAGGCAGTGAACACTGATGAGTGTCACTCTGGGCCAGTCCTGGAGTTGAAGGCACAGCCAAGGGCTTTCTGCCCAGTATAACTGGCATGCCCCTTGTTGGCACCCAGAGGAAGGAGAGAACTGGCTCCTCTGTAGCTGAACAAGGGTTAATATCCCTGGTGCCCCATATTCCCCCAGCCTGGATGGAGGACAGGGCAGGTAGTGTCCATTTCAAAGACATTAACTCACCAGGACCAGAATGAGGGAAACCTGCTACTGCTTTCTCAGGCTGCCTGAAGAGAGGACGAAGGTGCTTCTCCAGGCCACCTTTACCTGCAGCTTCTACTCTCTCCTCTCTCTCCCTCTCTCTTTTTCTCTCAGCCTCCCTTGGCAAAATGGCTGAATACTTCAGAACTATCAACAGAGAAACCTAAGTGGAAAGGCCTTTCTTCCAGGGCATTCTGCCTCTGCAATCTGCAGGAAAAGGAGCACCCACACTCCTCCTAGACAGGAGTGGACTGAGAATCATTCTCTAGCATTTTAACAATCCTTGGACTTCCGTGAAGTTACTCTCAGATCACACTTAAATCCCTTCAGTTGTAACCTGTCAGAATGGGAAAGCAGAGAAGAACCAGAGAAGATAGACTGTCTGGATCTCAACACCCTGCCTAGCACACCTGTAACCCAGTCACACCCCGAACAGCATCTCCTTCAGGACAGGTACTGGGCCTTGGGTGTCTTTGTTCCAGAGCACTCCAACCTCTCTTTGTAAGAATTCTCATGGCTACCAAGCACTTCTTTCAATGATGGATAAACCACTGGACTGGGAAGCAACTTGAAGAATCCTTGTAGAAGCAGAAGTGAAAAGCAAACGGACACCTAGACCAGTCCACAGGCTTGCAGGCCCCAAGACCCCACTCACTATTCACTGGGAAATGCTATGCAGAACTGGATGCCACACGGGTCTGGTGGGGGGTGGGTGAGGGGAGGCTAAGGGATACACTCCAGAAACACAGTCCAACCTTCCTCTGCCTGATGGCCTACCCTGGACTTTTTCCCTTGGGAATTGGACAGCTCCTCACACTGAACTTCCCTAACTCAGGAAGGTGCCTGGTACATTCCTAGCCCACAGTTCCAGGTGTCAGACCCCAATTGAGTCTGGATGGGGAGTAGGGGTGTCCCAACCTTGGCAATAAAGGGCAGCCTGGTCCAGCTTTGCCTATGTCTCTCCACTCTAGAAGAGGGTGGACAATCTACACAGCAGTGCCTACCCTGCAGCCTAGGTAGCAAGAGCAGGAGGACCATAGTGACTAGGGCCTGCCTTTGTCCAGAAGAATGGCCAGGAGACTCCACCCCTTCCCCTATCTTGATGGAGGCCACTACCTAGCCCAAAGCTGGCTGCCCCAAGGTCCTCACCCCCCAGCAGAAACCAGGATGCCCATGCTCTGTGCAGAACCTCAAGCCATTCCTGAGGCCAGTTCCCTCGGGCTTGATCCTCAGTGCCTAGAAGCCAAGCCACAGCCCAGAGGGCAGGCGAGGCTCTTCAGCACCTGGACAGGCCCTTCTGGGTTGGGTTCCAATAGGGTCTTTCCTCCACTCCTCCCATTTCTGAACCGGACTGAGGTCTGAGGGATACAGTGGCAAACAGAGAAAAGCACTCATCAGGAATAGCGAGGGCACTGGGTGGAGCAGGGCTGCCCTGGAGTGTCACGCCGCCCATGCCCTGGTCCTGACCTGCGGCCCCCTTCCCCACGCAGGGCTTTCCCACCTCCGCAATCCCACGCGATGTCGCGGCTCGACTGTACCGGGCGGATTCTCCCCTCACATGGAACCCAGACCGAGCCGGCAGCCCCTCCCCACCGTCCTTGCAGCCCGGACGGCGGAGGGGCAGTGTCCCCCTACCCCAATATAGAAGGGCCTGGGCCACGTGGGGGGCCGCCCGTCGGGGAAGGAGGGGAGCCGACCGGGGCCGCTCCCATCACCCTCTCCTGGTCAACAAGCACAAAAGCCGAGGCAGCAAACAAAGAAGCGCTGCAAAGTCGCTGGGGAGGCGGGACGGCCGGCGCCGCGCCCCCTCCCCACGCGGGGTCCCCGCGGCCCCCCGACGGCGCTCCTACCTGGCCCGCGCGGACCTCCTTCTCCAGCTCGCGGTGGCGGTTGTGCCACACGAGGTAGTGCAGCGGGTATTTGCCTTCGGGCCCCTTCCTGGCGGAGGCGTTGGCGGGGATCATCGCCCGCTCCTCATGCCGGGGCCTCGGCGCCCGGCCCGGGAGGAGGGACGGCGCCAGAGCCGGGGCCCGGAGCCGCGGGGCGGGCGGCGGGCGCTGCCTGCTCGCAGGGCTGCGGCTCGGGCATGTGCGAGCAGCGGCGGCGGCGGCGGCGGGCGGGGGCGGCGCGCCCGGCGTGGTGCGGGCGGCGCGGGCGGCGGGCGTCCTCGCGAGGCGGCGGGCGGCGGCGGGCGGCGCGGAGAGGCCCCCTCCCGCACGGGCAGGGAGCGGGCACTCGGCGGCGCGGCGCAGCCTCGCCTCCCACCCCCGCCCCGAAAGACGCCGATCGGCAGAGGGAGCAGGCGCCCGCCGCGGGCGCGGGGGCGCACGGGACGCTGGCCCCGGGGATGCCTCCGCCGCCGCCGCCGCTGCAGGGATGCACGCCTGCAGCCTCCGGCTCCCCGCAGCCGCATAGCCAGGCCCTCAGCCCGAGCGGCCGGCGAGGGACGCGGTGCGGGGGTGGGGAGGGGAGGGGGGACCCGGGTACACCGCGCCGAGTGTTATAGACCGCCCCGGGGCATCATGGGGCTTGTAGTCTGCCTCGTGGAACCGAGAGTATGGAGTGACCGGGGAGGGTCTCACTGTGGGTCTCATTTCCTGAGAAGATGGACAGGGAAATGACAGTGCCCTAACTCCAGGCGGGGCTGGGGCAGGGCCCCATCCTCTGACGTTTTGCCTTTTTCAGGAGAGCCAGAGGGCTCAGGACCTCACTCAGCAGTTTTTGGGTGGAGACGGTCCTTCAGAATTAAGCTTAGGTCCCAAGACCTAAGAAGGATCTGGATGCCAGAATCGTGACAGAGACTCTTGGGAAAGATACAAGGATCATTAGAGCAGCCAGGGATCTGGTTGAAATATTCGTCTGGGATCTTGCCTGACCTCTTGGAAAATTAAAATCCATCTGCCACATATGACATTGAAAATAGAATGTATGTCCAGTAGAGCGGAAAGGACATCGCTTCCTCCATACACCTGTGCTCGGTTAAGAACAAGGGTGAGGCTGGGCAGAGAATGCAGCAGGTGGCAGCTTCCACTGCATTGGACTCTAGTCGAAGGAAGTGACTCCTCCTGCAATGACCCAGGGCAGACAGGTCCTTCCAAAAGAATCCCTTCCAGAGAGTGTGGTGAAAGTGGAATCAGCTCTATGGCTTCCAATTGTAAGGACTGAGAAGGATCAAGAAATTTAGCTCAATCTTTGGACTTCGATATCAGAGAGACTTGAGTTTAAATACCTCCCTACCAATTACTAATGGCTTACCATTTTCCCGAGTTTCTCAGTCCATTTGTAAAATGAGACTGGATACTATCTTCCAGGGTGAACTAAGGATAACAAATGCCCTGGAAACCCCCTCCCTCTTGCAGCCAGGTGGACTGAGAGCCTTCTTGAGTCCACCTTTAAAACAAGGCAGGAATAAGGGATTCTACACCAGCTCCAGCAATGCAAGAAGTGTGGTGTAGGAGGTGCCAGCAAAAGCCTACAAACTCCCCCCCCCCTTCCTCAGGTTTGGGGTTTTCTTGTTTTTGTTTTAGATGTGGTCCTCTCCTCTGCCTCCCCCACACCCTGTGGTGCCAGGCATCCAGAGATTACGGATGGGGAAGGAGAGGACTGACTGCCTCGCCCCATTCTCCAGTCAGGGAGGAGCCTGCAGCTCAGGGCCACTGCCCACTTTCACCACCAGGGGTCAGCAGAGCGTCGTGACTGCAGCCAGATTTGGGGAGGGGGCTAAGGTTGGGGGTGGGGAAAGAGGGACAATTAGGAGTGGCCAGAAGAATGCCTGTACCGTTTCTCATTAAACTGTTTTTAGAACCCGGTGTGAGATTCCACTTGAGCTATCCTGCTTCCAGTGGTGGTGACATCTCCACTGGGAAATCCAGAAACCCTTTATCTGCAGCTTAGCTGTGACGAGGCTGAAGGTTGAGGAACAAAGTTTTGGACTGTGTGTCTGTGCTTAGGGCCACTCCCAGGTAGTCTCCTGGCCAACCAGAAGATAGGACGAGGTTGAATCATCCTTCCTGGAGCCCAAGACACTGGGAGCTCTACCTGGGTTTGGAGGACAGCCCTCTTTTTGCCAGGCAGCCCGTCACACTAAGCCTAGATCGCTTTCCCTTTGATCTGAGCGCTCAGGCTTGCCACGTGCTTGAGACGCGCCCACACAGCCGAGAAACAAAGACAGCCTAGCGGCAGGGCTGCCAGCAGCCGCCTTGACATTTAATAAATGAAATTCCATAGCTGGGGGTCGATCGGGGGTGAACAGGCGGCCACCGCTTGTGGGCTGCGTGCCCGGTTTGAATTGCCAGGCCACTCCTCCAATCCCCGTCCCTCGCAGGCGCCACTAAAACCAGGGACTCCTCGGTGTGAGTGCAACACCCCGGGCAGGTGGTGCTCCCACACACACCCAGGAGTTATCTTTGCCTTAGAGAAGCTCCACCAGCTTAGCCGCTGGGGGCGGGGGGGCGGAGAGAGGCTGCAAGAAGAATTTTTTTTTTAAGGTGTGACTATAAATATATCCTGTGGATCGCGATTTCAAACAAACTTGTCAATCTGGGCTGCAGCGAAAGGCGATGAAGGCTGCTTTGCCCTGTATTTCCCGTGGTGTGACTCACAGCATTACTTGTCTCACCTAGGGAAGGAGCCTGCCGGCCCGCAAATCACGAATGTTTGGGTACTGCTGAGATCTCGACCCACTCAGGCACCTGTACCCAAGGGCTCCCCCCAACCCCTGCCCTGTCACTAAGCAGGAATCCCCCTCCCCCCGCCTTTACTGTGATGGGGACTGGGGGGGGGGGAAGCCCACGTGCATCCTGAATGTTAGCTCTGCCCTCCACCATGACCCTCTGTGTGAAATCCAGGAAGCTCGTGTGGGTTATATACACCTGTTCTGGATGCACCCCCTTCTGGTAGCTCAGGAGCTGTGGGAACAAGGCAGATGACAAATGGATATTAAGTGCACACGAAGTGGTCTTCCTCTGGCTTATAGCAAGGATGTAAGGATGGATGATCGCTGTCTTAAAAAGTCCAAAGGCACGAGGACACACTGCATGCACCTCTCGAGCACCTGGACTTCCATGTTGTTGGCGGCATGCACACTCAGCAAGGTGTGACCAGCGATCCACCAAGACACAGATGTGAACGTACACCTTACCCCAACCAAAGACAGATGGGCAACCAAGAGTCCAATCCGTTTGACGGGGCGGGGCCCAAGGCCTGTGGCTCCTTCTTCTCATCCCGGTCCTCCACACCCCCCCCCCGGGGGATCACCCCCTCCCCCTTTCCCCCGCCCGCTGAGAGTTAAGGGGCCAGGGCTATGAGGGTGACTCACAATGCCTCTGGACGAGGGGAGCGCCGGAGCACAGCCCAGGGCCGCAGACCACGCCGGCGGCGGCCGCGGCCCCTTTAAGCGCTCCCGCCCCCTCCAGCCCGCGCGCCCGGCTTCCTTTCTCCGGGAGGCGCGGCCGGCAGCGCCGGGCGGCGGAGCGGAGGTGCGGGCCGCCCCTCCCCCGGTGGGCAGGGCTTGCGCCGCTTCCTGCAGGAGCGGCCGGGAGCCGCGCAGGGGGCGGGGAGAGCGGCGAGCGGCGGCGCGGGGCGGCGCGGGGCGGCGCGGGGCGGAGGGCGCCCGAGGGCGAGCGGGCAGGCGGGCACGGCGGGTTCCGGACCAGCCCCGGGGGCGGACGGTTGGCTCGGCGCGCGGAGCCTGGCCGGGGCCTTGCCGGAGCCGGGCCGGGCAGCAGGGCCGCCGCCGCCGCCGCCGCCGCCCGGGCCCGCCGCCCGCGCCCCCCACGCTGGCCCAGAGGGCTGCGGCCGCGTCGCCGCTGAGGATGTCCCGGAAGGGGCCGCGAGCGGAGGTGTGTGCGGACTGCAGCGCCCCGGGTAAGCGGACGGGACCGGGGGCGGGACCGGGTGTCCAGGCCGCCGCCAGGCGGGCGCCGGGGCCTGGCGGGAGCGCCGGGCCGGGCCGGGCCCGGCCGGAGGGCGGGGCGGGGCGGGGGGCTGCGGCCTCCGGCCTCGGCCCCTACCGGGGCCACTGCGGAGCCGCGTCCTTGGCGGGAGGGCCGGCCCGGGGGGCCCCCATTTCAGTCGAGTCGGTGGCCGGGCGAGGTAGGACATTGCCCGGCGCCACCTCCCACCCCTCAGTCTGAGGGAGGCGGCTAGCTGCCCGCCTCCCCACCTCCATCTCGGTATCCAAACGGAAGCGCCGGCCTGGGGCGGCGGGAGGGGCCGGCGGAGGCCGGCAGGGTTCGGGAGGTGGGCGCCGGTAGGGTTTTGTGTCATCTCAGTGCCACCCCCGCGTCTTGCACCTGCTGCTCGCAGGGTCCGCTTGCCCGCCGGGGTGGCGGAGGGCAAGGGCCTGGTGAGCCACCCTGACTGAATTCAGTTTTCTCAGGAACCACCGGAAAGGTGGGTTATTCCTAGGACTCTCTGCCCCCGGTGCCCAAGGCTGAGGTTCCTGTAGGGAAGGGCCTGGTGCTCAGGGCCAGTCCAAACCTGGGCATCTTCTCCGGAAGCATCCCCAGGCCTACTGGGAACTGGGGACGCGTGTACTGGCTTTTCCTGGTCCCGGTAAGCCTGCCTGGGGAGGTGGGCTTGGCATTGTCCCGGCCTGGGTAGGAATCCCTTCTAGACCTTTATATCCCAGTCTGGCAAGAATCCTGTAGGAGGCAGTGACAAGGGGGTGTCTAGACCCTTCTCATCTAGCTGGCTTCCTGGCCAGCCTCTTGATTGTTCTTAGGTACTCTTTGCCCTCTTCTTCCCTACAGAGTTCCATCTGGGCTGGTGTAAAAGCCCCCTGGCAGGAAAGGAGGCACAGTGACCCACCAGCGCTGCTCCTTTTTTATATGGGAGGACACTGTCCGTGATGGGGCTCAGCAGCTGGCTCGGAGAAGGAAGCTCTCGCTCCATGTCCATTCTCTTTTTTAAAAAGAAATGTACTGGACTGAGAATGTGGCTTTAGTGGTAGAGTGCTTGCCTAGCATGCATGAAACCCTTGGTTTGATTCCTCAGTACCATATAAACAGAAAAAAGCCAGAAGTGGCGCTGTGGCTCAAGTGGCATAGTGCTAGCCTTGAGTAAAAGAAGCTCAGGGACAGTGCTCAGGCCCTCAGTTCAAGCCCCAGGACTGGCCAGGAAAAAAAAAAAATGTCTTCCTGGACATGCTCAGAAGATGTTGTGAACTCCAGGGAGCACTGTGGGCATGATTGAGAGTGCAGGGTGCTGTTTTGTAGGCCTATAACTTCCAGACACGTTTTATTTATTTATATATGTATTTATCATAAAAGTGATGAACAGAGGGGTTGCAGTTACATAAATCAGGTAATGAGTACATTTCTTTTTGGACAATATCACCTATTCCTTTATTCCTTCCCCCAGACATCTTTTGAATATCTGCAAACCCAGACTGGTTGAGCCCCCCAGGCGTGGTGGCTTGATAGTTGTTAGGTTCTAAGCTAGAGTATTACTTAGGAGCTGTGGATACCTGTGAGGAACATAGGCACAGGGTGTCTTCCAGATGACCCTGAAGCCCCTTTTCAAGGCATGTCATGCTTTGGAGGGCCCTTGAGGGACCATCTGGGAGTAGATATCTTTCTTACAGATTAGCTGGAAACTAACCGCTGACCCCCTCCCAGCTACAGGCTGGTCTGGTGAAGAAAGGACTAACAGGAGACCTTTCCCTTCTATGTGTTCTTGGCTATTCTGTACCTGTTTTGGGTAGGCATGGCTGGGATTTAGCAGGCCCTCTATCAGGGGAGCCTGATTTTAGAGTTGCCTTTGTTTTTTTGCTTACTGTGTGACCTGTGGCAAGATTTTGTTCACTGTCAGTTTCTTCAACTGTGAAGTTGGAGTAGAAAACCTGTGCTCCTGGTTCTGGTACAGAAGCCTGTAGGACAGCATCAGCAAAGCATGTTGACTTTCTGCATTGCCTGTGAATTCCTGGCTGAGGCCTCTGGATGCCCATTGGGCTCAGAGAGGAATGATGTGTCAGATATGTTGGCCACACTGGCTCCTATTTCCAGTCCTCATAGACAGATGTTCCTTCTCCAGGAGCCTCTGATATAGAATATAGATCAAGCGTGGGGAAGTGGGTAGCAAGTTGACCAAATGTTACTCATCATCCCTCCCCAGCACCTAGCACGGTGTCTGGCACATGGCAGGCATCACCAAGTGTGTTTCAGTTTCAATGCTTGTCAGGACCGTCCCATACTCCCACCTTGCCACACTGGCCCCTGCAGGCAGCAGCATTCTAAATCTGGTCCAATAGCATCTCCGGCATAAGAGGCATGAGAACACACAGAGGTAGGGAATCTAGACCCAGTGCTGCCCTCTTTGGTATATGCTTCCAACCCAGAGTTATAGACTCCTCTTTCAGTGCTAGGAACCTTAAAGTCCCAGCCCAATGTGTGGTCTTTTTGTAGTTGGTTAATTTGGGGGATGCTGGAGGTGAGAGATGAGATGCAGCCTGTATCCAAGGGTCCCTGTGCACCAAAGTGTGAGTAAGCACCTGAACCCACTGTAGCTGCTTTGGCAGTTCCCACCATCTCATCAGGTGCTGTGTTCAGACTGCCTTGAGAGTCCAGGAGAGGGGCCAGGGTTAGGATGCACTGGAAAGATAGGCCCTTTTACACTCACGTGGCTCACACCTGTAATCCTAGCTACTCAGGAGGCTGAGATCTGAGGATTGCAGTTTAAAGCCAGGCCAGACAGGGAAGTCCATGAGATTCTTTATCTCCAATTAACAATCAGAAAACTGGAAGTGGCGCTGTGGCTCAAGTGATAGAAAACACTCCTTGAGGTGAAAGCTGAGGGACAGCTCCCAGGCCCAGAGTTCAAGCCCCACGGACAAAAAAAGAAAAAAGAAAGAATTTAAAAGACCTCACAATGCTTATCCTATGAGCAGCTGGTAACAAGTTACAGGGCAACCTGCAAGTTCAGTTGTCTTCCCCCTCCACTCTCCAGTCTTGGGGCTTGAATTTTAGGCCCTGTCCCTGAGCTCCGTTTTGGCTCAAGGCTAGTGCTCTACTAGAGCTGTAGCACCACTTTGAGCTTTTTCTGTAATTAATTAGAAATAAGAGTCTCATGGACTTTCATGCCAGGTCTGGCTTTGAACTGTGATCCTCAGATCTCAGACTCCTGAGTGGCTAGTATTATAGGCATGAGCCACCATCCCCAGCATTCATTTGTCTTCTTGTAGATTTTTTGGGGTGGCATAGTAGTAGGCTTTTCTTCCCTGTTTTAGTGACATAACTTACATACAGCCATGGGCCATAATGGTGGTCCCGTGTTTTGTGTGTGCAAATGTGTTAAAGGTATACAACATTTTCATAACTCTGAGGCTTCCCCTTTTTTAAATTTTTCTAAATTTTCAAAATTTTTTGCGGGGCTGGGAAGGTGGCTCAGTGGTAGTGTCTCACATGCATGAGGCCCTGGGTTCGATTCCTCAGCATCACATAAGCAGAAAAGGCCAGAAGTGGCGCTGTGGCTCAAGTGGTAGAGCGCTAGCCTTGAGCTGAAGAGCTGAGGGACAGCACCTACGTCCAGAATTCAGGCCCACAACTGACCAAAAAAAAAAAAAGGAAAGGAAAAGAAAAATAATTTTTGTGCCAATTTTGGAGTTTGAACACAGGGCCTGGGCACTGAGCTTTTATGCTCAACTCTAGCACTCTACCACTTGAGCCACAGCTCTACTTCCAGGTTTTTTGCTAGTTAATTAGAGATAGGAGTCCCACTGACTTTACTACCCAGGCTGGCTTTGAACTGTGATCTTAGATCTCAGCCTCTTGAGTAGCTAGGATTACAGGTGTGAGCCACAAGCACACCACTAAAGCTTCCTGTTGCCTCATCAGCTCATGCCTATATAGGTAGCCATCAGCCTTGTCCCCATGGAGTATTCATGCCTTCTTTCAAGGAGTTGAACTTTTCCTTCTTGTCTGTTGAGAATCTGACCCTTAAGTATGAGACTTGCTAGCCCTAGAAGGCAGTGATAGTTTTGGGTAATGGCATGAATCCGTCTTAATCAAGTCTTCCTTGGTATTGGCACTAGGTATATATATTATCCCACCAAACTTGAAGCAGAAGGACAGCAAATGCTCCCTAACCTGAACATTCGCTGTCCCTCTGCTTCAAGTTTGGTCCAAGGAATTTTTTAGGAGCAAAGATTCCTTGCACTACAATAGTTGTTTGACTTTCAGCAACCCTTCCTGACCCTTCTGCTTGCGAACTGGCCTGGGTGGGGTTTAGGGTTCCAGCTTGGGTGTTCCCTAGGTTCACTTGGAGATAAAGAATAGGTAGGGCTGGGAAGGTGGCTCAGTGGTAGAGAGCTCGCCTTGCATGCCTGAGGCCCTAGGTTCGATTCCTCAGCACCACATAAGCAAAAAGAAAAAAGCC